AGCTGGGGCTTATCCAAGCTCATCACTAACATATCAACCCTTAAAACAGAACTCGCAACCTTCTGTATCAACACAACCTACTTCTAGTATGAAAATAAATACTACCTTCAATTAGAAGATCTAATGTTAGGATCTAACCTATGATCACTAGCCTCTAAAGAGAACATCTGAAAGTTTAACAGTCTCAAAAAAGTCACTTCATGCCCTAAGATTTGACTCCGGTATGTTCATGATATATTTATAATATGGCTGCAAATTATGAAATTCATTAAGTACCTGAACAAATATCTCACAACACAATTCACAACGGAAATTGAAAACAAAATTTGCTTCTTTTCCTAGACGTGATGTTTATTAAGTCACATAACTCGTATACCACAGAAGTTTTCAGAAAACCCACAGATATGCTTAAATTCCTCGTCTATAGATGAAACTACCAAACAGTGTAAAGACAGCATCATGAAATGCCTAGTTTCCAGAATGAACAAGACTTGTAATACAGAAGATGCTTGTGTGTTTTGGAACAAAGCCACACTGGGCTATCTGTCGTATCCACTACAGGAAATTAAACCCCAGATTTTAGTATTATAAGTCCGTAAGCTTACTGCTTTCCCACCTGGGGGAATGCTTAGAAGGAAGAAAAATACATCACTACAGCCCTCCTTAACAATACACATCTGGAACACTGTCTAAAGAAGATAAACATCATAAATAATACACAGAAAGAAAACTGAAGACACACAGCCACATCCCTCTATGTCAGAGTTCTCTCTTGAAACATAGAGAATGAAAACACACAGCTACATTCCCCCATGTCAGAGTTCTCTCTTAAAACATACAGAATGAAAACACACAGCTACATTCACCCATGTCAGAGTTCTCTCTTAAAACATACAAAAGATATATAAAGAGTATAAAGTTAGAACAGTAATCAGAAGCCACAACACAATATGACCACAGTTAGTACAGAAAGGAAAACATCATTTACAACATCCCCTGGCAACGTGCATTCCATGACACGAGAAAAACAAATAGATCAACAAAAGTCAGAATTCAGGAGCATAACAGATGTACAAGACTCAGTAATACCACTCTATACATAATAGCCTCTCATGTCAGAAAAAAGAATATACAATAAATTAAAATCACAATAAAATAATTGGATATTAACCAGACACACAAGAACAATATAAAAGAAACCTTCTACATCTATCTAACTGATAAAACACTCAGTCAGCCTAACATAAAAGTTAGCAAAACCTGGATACCCCTTTTGAAAACAAACTGGTTAGTTGATTCAGGTTCTAATAAAAAATACCACAACTGAGTGGATAATACCCAAACTTTCCATCAAGAATACCCAGGAACAAAGCCCAGTCAATACCAATGCAAAAATAGTTCTTCTCAGGACATCCCTGAGATGGCAGCAGATTAGCAACAGACACAAAGGATAAAAAAATAGTAAGTGGGATCTAGCCATAAGAAAAGTAAATAGTTTGTTTTGGATATTTGTGTAAAGCTACTCAAGGCCTATCTGCTCTAGCTATCTCAAATTTTGAACTCATAGGCTGGAGGGAAAGCAGCTAGCAAACAGCATCTAACTCCAACTCTTGACTGATGGAATAGTAAGATTTGATTGTCCCCCTTAGGCTGTACCCTTGGTCCCAGAATGCATAGTGCAATTTTTGTTATAGTAATGGGACGTGAAAAAATTAACCCACAGCTCCACAATCTGACATACTAACCACAGGGACATTCGTGGCCTCTTATAAATAAATAATGGAAAGAATTAATTACTAATTAGGCTTAGGTGATCACATAAGCTCCAAAATATGACAATAATGCTAAATACAAGTTCATGCCCATCTTTTTAAGACGTCAGTGATCAATCCAACATAACAATTTACAGACATACAAAAAGAAAAGTCATTGCTTATACACCACTGATTTTAGAGAATGGGCTTAACATAACTACTTTTACATGTAAAATGTAATTTAACTAAATTCAGTTTACTCAAGTTACAGCTGAAAGTAGTAAAACAATGAATAAATATAGAAATAGTGTATAAATATCTGAAAATACAAAACGGCTAAAAAAGCATTATAAGAGAAAATGGTACATACATCCACTAAACTTTTGCTTTAAAACTTTAAACTGAAATTTGTTTAGTTGGGAATGAAAACACAGAAAATAATGTACTGTTCTAAGGCATTATACCCTGCTCCATATAAAGTCAAAATTTTATAAAATTACTAAAAGGGCACACTTTACATAAATAATTTTACACCAATATCTTATAACATTTTGTCAAAACAAAAATATTACATGATAAAAAAAAATGCACATTTCCAAAACAGTATTGGAAAATACAAGTTAAGAATATGATTCCAAGAAAAAATTATTTCCCATATTAAGATTTGAAAAACATTTGTCTGGCTCTTCTGTGTGTGTGTATATATATCAATTAAATTGATCATTATGTCCAAAAGAAATAAAAGAATGCGAGCATTTACACAATAGTATACCTTGATAACTACTTTGTAAGGTTAATGTAAGCAGTCAAAAATTAAGAAACCTGATACACAAGTTTATTCATCATTTTTGCTGTTATTTTACATGAATTGGTATGGAAAGTGGGTCATACATGTTTATAGATTACAATAAAAATTCTTAGGTTGAACTTACTGGATTTTCATCAAGTACCAGCCCTTCACATTTGTAGGATATTGTTATAAAGTAACTGAAACAGCATAGACAATAAAACTAATTTTAATCATGTTGCATTGAAAATATGGCTCATACTTTACTTTATATCTTATTCACTATAATCATTAATATTTGAAATTATGTATTTTACAAAATGTTAAACATTCTCTTATTACACAATACATTATGTGCAAGGGATTTGTTTGTTGTTTTCAGCAAAAAAGACACCTAATGTGTTATATGCACTCTGTTTACCAAAGGGAATTGAACCCTGGATTCTAGCACTAAGTCTGCAAGGTTACCACTGACCCACTGAGAAGTCACATCAAGAAAACAAAATAAAAAAGCAGAATAATACTCAATGAAACCCATCTATGCAAGACGTGTATCATTCAACCACCCATTCTTTCGAGACATACATTGTACACTCTCGGGGCAGAGATCATTCACTTTTTCTCAGTACACACATCAGACATGCAGTCACCACCACCCCTGTAAACATACACCATTCATTCTCAAGGCACAGCTTATCCACTCACTCTCAGGACATGCAACATTCAATCACCACCACTCACTCACACACACACACACACATCGTTCCTTCTCAGGGCACAGCTTATCCACTCACTCTCAGGACATGCAAAATTCAATCACTACCAATCTCTCTCACACACACACACACACATCATTCCTTCTCAGGGCACAGCTTATCCACTCACTCTCAGGACATGCAAAATTCAATCACTGCCACTCCCTCACACACACATCACTCCTTCTCAGGGCACAGCTTATCCACTCACTCTCAGGACATGCAAAATTCAATCACTCTCAGGATTCATATCAGTAAGTTGAATTTTCCTACATGAAGCTATAGATGCAACTTCTTGCTAGTTAATACTTACAGCCTCCATAAATTCTAGCCATTAAAGTTCTTTGCCATTAATAAGAATTTATTTTTTTGAATTTCTAGCATATAAAAGTTTTTTAAGTGAATTAAATTGTTTGGATCTGAAATTCTTTTTGTAGATGTCTACTTAATTTTCTCTATTTCTATAACTTTAATACATTAAAACAACAAAAATTAAATAATTTTCAAAATTAACAAATTTAACTACTTTTGCCTTTGAATAAATAACCACTAAATACAGAAAAAAAGCATTCTACATTGACAAGAAAATTCAAAAACATTTAATAAATGTGTTTATTAATCAAATTTAAAGGTTTACAAAGTTATTTAAAGTAAAAAAAAATCCTTCCAATTTTCATTTGGATAACTTATAAAAATGTTTAAAAACTAGCAAACCTTTCATAACTACTCAGCTAGTTCCATGCTACAATTAGTGCTCTATGACATTAGGTCCTGATAGATATTATTAAAGCCTTAAACTTTGAAACCTCACGTATGAAGAACCTAAAGTAACCTACATAACTTAAAAAAAAAAACTTTAAAATATTATACAGTCCTATAATACAACTGCATTAATTGCTCTAAAGATTATAGGAAATAGAACAATATAAAACTAAGGATTGTGACAAACTACAATCTAATTTTTATCACATGTATATGCCAAAATGACAAACTATGATCAAACATAATAAAAAACTACAGGAATGATAGTTAAACCATAAACATACAAACTTTTTTGTTACTTTTTATTCAACTAATGAAAATCTGTTTGGTTAATCTGTACTTTTCACAATGAGAAATAACATTAAGAGCAGCAAAAAATATGTATAACATGTAAGATTTAAATGTTTAATGTTTTTTATAGTTTATTTGTACTCTTGACCTACACATACTGAATGGTTTCTAATACTTCTGTACAAGAACAGATCCTGTTAACTTTATGTGAACAGGTATACAAGATTCTATGCTAAAATAAAACAAATTAAATATGTGTATCAAGTAGTACACACACATTTCTAGGAAAATGTTTTTTTTTTACTTACACACATGGTATCACACTTTTTAAACAACAGATAATTAGTGTCAGAGCATGAAGGAAACCACTAATTTGTATGTTTTTAGTAAGTTATTTATTATAAAAATACTCAGTTTTGCCTGTCCTGAAAATGTGTGCACACCTTACTATCTATATGCACGTGCTTGTATACATCATTTCAATGGATGTAAACAAAAGGCAGATATAAATATACTTTAGTAGACATTTTGTACAATATTACATATTAAAGGCTTATAAACAGTTTTTAAACAGCTCTAATGCTAGGTTGTACAATAACATTATAAGTTTATTTATTGATAGTATTAAGTATGGTAAAGTTTATCCCTAACTAAACTAAAGCAAAAAATGTATACAAGTTACAGTGTTAATTTATCTCTTTATCGAATATAGGCCATACTTAATAAAGGCTTAACTAGCAATAGGCCTAAGACCAGTGGACTTATAGATTTTGATGTCTGCAATTACAATTCTTTTGTGTTATTCTATAAATTCTGTATTTAAAGAAGTACTCTTGCAATAAACATACTACTTTGACTGCAAATGTTTTGCAGGTCTCTGCTAGTACTAGCATATTTCCTGATACAGTTCCAGTAGACTTTTATTCTATTATCTCTCTCATGTTACTTTCATTAATATCATGGGTTAAAATGTTTAATATATTTCTTTTTCATTATATATTTTTTGTTATGAAGCTTAATTTGCATTGTTAGCTCAGTGTATAGACTTAGAACTAACCCACATATCTAACAGCAAGATTAAACAAATGATGAATCAGTGAATTCTAATCCATGCAACTTTTTGTTTTATGACTTTGCATACTCCTAGTAAGATCAGTATGTTAAATTACTTATTTCATTACTGGGTTAATTATTAATTGTGATATAATTAGGCAACTTGCTTTGATCAAAAGTTAATCATAATGTGACACTTTCATTACTTATCAAAAACACAAAATATATTTTACTATATATTATGTGAAAACTATGAACAGATTAGGTTTCTTATTCTAAATAACACATTTAATTGAACAAAACCTTAATAAATACATAAGTGGCCTAAAATAAGTTGTTTTAATTCCTACATTTTCTGTTAATGATCACAAAGCTGAAGCTTTTAAAAAATGGTAGTGTATTTGCATTTAAGAAAGTAAGACATCTTTTATTTAAATATCATGATATGATGCTGGAGCAAGGTAAGAGTTTATTGCAATGTACTGTAGTCTGTTTTATCAAATAATTCAAACAATATTATCTGAATACTTAGAGTTTCCTGTCCTACAAAAAACATTGCTGAATTGAAATTTCAGGTTTAGATAAACAGAACTCTTGAAACCAAAATGTATAATTACATGTGAAATATCCCATCCCAAAGATATAACATTTAATGGGGCTTTAGCTCATTGTTTATGGCACACCCATTATTAAGGTATAAAAAAATCAAATTAAGAGATCAAATTTCTTAATCAGTTTTCACACATGCATGATTAACAAGATTCTATCAGCTTTAAACAAAAAATTGGCCTTTCCAATACAGTTGGTTACTAAACTGAATTCCTAGTCCTGTGGACATATGAATGGAAATGTTCTAATTCATGTAATTAGTATTTAAATAATAATTAGATTCTAACTGAGAACAGACTTAAAAAAGTACTTTAATGTTAATTTTTGGCCTAAGTTGCATGACTTTCTTGTCTATGTAGAATTGCATGTATATGCAAAAAAGTAATTAATATAAAATGTTCCTTAAGTACAAAACAAATAACATTACATGACACATATTGAATTAATAACCTAATGTATATCATTTCTTTCATTCATATATTTGATACATTCTAAGTTAACTTGCATAACAATAAAAAGCATGCTTTTTAAACTCCCACATACAATAATCTCTACTTTGTTAGTTGACTTAACATATAGTTTGATAACTTGATTATTCTTTCTCGTATTTATAAAAATCTCTCACTAGCTATAAGCATGCACCATTTATCATCACAGAAATACCAGTTACATTGATTTTAAAAGCTGATTAGCAATAAACTACTGATTGTATTTTTGGCTACTGATAAATATTCTAATGAAAATAAAAACTTCTCCAAATGAACACGCATACTACATTTCAAAAACTATGGCTTGCAATAAATTTAGAACTTTAGTTCTACAATTTGTCATTGATTAACCAATTATAAATGTTTTATTTGCCAAAAACATTAAAACAATATACATTTAATAAGAAAACATTCAATGGCATTATTTATAATTAATGCCATAATTCATTCATTTAATAAAAACACTTCAAGACTCATAATTGAAAAAAAAGAAAGAGAGAGAAAAATGTTATTTCTTAACTACATCAATCTTTTTTATCATAGTTCCAAATCAAATCACAATAGATAGCTACATTGCATGTAGTATAAGCATGTCAGGTATTTTGCTGGTATAACCCCCTCTCCCAATTTAAGCCTTACCTTTGGCTTCTATGAAATGTGTATCATACACAACTTTAGGCAAATACAAAGAGTATAAAACATAAGTATGCCTCTAAAGCTTAGGTTTCTCTAGCAAGGTTAACAGTTGCAACTTGTTCACGGACAACCCACGTCACCTGAGGCTCACGTTCGTCTTCCAAATTATTTTGTTCCATGTCAGAGGCACCATTACTACTGCTACTGGAGTCAAAAAAGCTTAGATCCTCATCACAGTACTGGTACTTGAGATTTTCAACTTGGCCAATTTTTAAGAATGATCGTAAGAGATCAGCAAGGCATTCTAATTCACTGAAAGAAAGTAAAAATATTTTTATAAAATCAATCAATTTTCTAAAACAAAAACAGATTTTGGATGTACAGTCTGCACTGTCCAAAATTATTGTGATTTTTGTTTATCCTAAAACCTTTGTATTCCAAACCTATATTGTAATGAATACAAGTACAAAAGAAACTAACGTAAAATTTTTGAGTTTTGTGAAAAAGAAAAAATAAATATATTCTATTCCATACAAAGAGAGAAAAGTATATAGTACATAAAAATCTGTTATTTCATATATTCCTCATTATCTACATAATTCTAAAACACAAATGAGAATATGCTTTGGCTTTTTAAAGAAAATTCTTTAGAGTACAACTAAGAAAATGTTTCTACAGAAATATTTAAGCAATGAACAAAAAAAAATCCAACCAGCCACATCAAGAATGAGATTAAGAACTGATAAATCCAGGAAGACAAAATAAGTAACATAAAACTTTTAAACACCTGTACACTATCTTAAATAATGTATGTGATAATATGACAATAGATAGAGCATACAACAGATGAGTATATATCAACAAAATTATTAATTCTCATTTCATTTGTATTTCAACACTTTCCAGACTGGAGGGTTGTTAATGACATCCCTCAAGTTTTTCCTTCCCACAGTGAAAATACTTAACCAGATTCCATGAAATGTAGAACAAATTCCTAAACAGTAAAAATAAATTCATATAATTTGATTTAATTTTACAATCATTTTTTTTCCTCATAAAATTTCACAAATTTTGTTGTAAATACTTTTGAAAAACATTAAAAATACTTCATTTCATCCCAGAATTTAAATGTTGATCAGAACATTTCATTCCATATATACAATCAGGTTCAACTTGACTGATATTCATCAATATATTTCTTTTGATTAATTATTTTTCTGATTGCAATAGCAACCACTTTCAGCTATAAGTTGTAAAACACCACAAAAGCTGATAAAGATTTACTGGTGGCCTAAAACATGACCTTTAAAAATGGTGTCAGGCTAGACTGGGTAAAATAATTTTGATAATAATATTCTTGATTAAAATCAACTTATATCATATAAATATATTTTTTTATCAATAAATTATAAGTTCCTTTTTTTATGTGGATTGTTTGAGAACTATAAACTTAATAATAATATTCAACAAGTAAAGGACATATATCAGAATATTTTTCTGTCACTCACTGTACTTTTTAAGCCTATCTAGGCTTACCTATCTGATGTTACAAAATAAATGTTCTATAGCTTTCAAACAAATATAATTAAAAAACATTTTCAGTAACATCTAAAGAAGCTATAAAAAATGCCCAGAAATGTGGTTTGTTCCTAAATTTCTGGTATTTAAACTTTGCCTGTAACTGTTGTCAAAGCTGAACTTCATTAGTAACTGTGCTATGAGATCATAAAAAGGTGTAGAAGAAAGGCTGTACTAATAAAATCAGTGAAAGAGAAGGAAAATAAACTGAGAAACAAAATATGAACAATTATGTTCTAAAAGAATAATAATTTCTTAGTAAATAGAAAAATTATAAAAAAATCTATAAGTATGTTATTTATAGGAGACCCCTTTCAAAGCTGCACAGAAACGTAAGTTTGAAATTTAATTTTTCTTTGCAAATTACACAATGACAAAATAATCAATTTCAAAACATTTGAGTTAAAATTGTTGGAATAAAGCTAAAATTTAACATGTAGATATGCATTAAACATCTGAAAAATGCTCTCCAGTCCATTCCAATTCCTTTAAATCCTTCTACAATTTTAGAAATTAGTTAATTACACTTCAACAATACAGATATTTAATGATCACAGTTGTCAACAATTCAATGAAACCTACCCAATAAAAATGAATTTTAAAAGCCTTCCAATATTGGACAAAAAAGACACAAGCACAAACTCTGCAACAAATAACACAATGACCTATGTAAGCAATCTTGACACAAACTGGCTACTCTTGTGTGTTCATGGAGATTATACACAAGCTGTGAAGCACTGTTTTCCATTAAAACCAATTTCAATTCTCAGTTGTACATCAAGCCCTTGTTTTCATCTCACTATATGTATTTCAAATATTAGGTATTACATAAAAATATATGTTTAGTTCAATTAATAATTCAAGATTTTAACACAGTTATGAGCACAATGAGGACACACCATCCAGCTCAACAAAACCATGCCTGATTGCAGGTACTATTACAAAAGAACCATTTTTCACTTTATAATTTTAGCAGTTAGTGTACCTGTTTAAAATACAATATGCTAGCTTACTTGTTACTACACCTAAAGATTATACCTAATAAAACATCAGGAAATAAGGTAATGTATTTATACATTAACAATTTCCAACACAGAAAATGTATTTCCAACAGATACTTACCTCCCATGCATATTAACTTTCCTTGATTATGTATTGCCCCTATATGCACAATTTTTTGCTTGCCACTAGCCTTGAGGTTCCCACCTAAACTCATGTTTTCATGTAGTATTGGCACACTGTGCCATGCAAACAAGTGTGTGACAACCCTCTACCAATAGTAGTATAACACCCTCCTAGCACAGCTGACTCCCTCTATACTGATTGTTCAATCATCACTTCGAAATTAGGCAAGAAAAGATACATCAGAAGTGCGGAGGATGGGTTGAAAGTGTGAGCAGAGGTATCTATCAGAAATACATTTACATCTGCTTGCATATTAGCTAGAATCCCACACTGAAGTAGTGGAAGAACTGGTGCAAAAGTTAACTATATAAGCTCCCTTCAGAAAGTACCCGAAGAGAACCCATGGAGTGTAATACTCAATTACATGAAAGTATAGGGGGCACACCCATTCTGTACCAGAGTATACTCTTCATCCATAGTGAAAATATGTGTCAAATTGGACAGAAAAGAAGCAAGTCCAAAAACACAGTATGTAAAATGAACAAACTATAAGATATAGAGTGGCTAGAGCATACCAGATCACACATGGCAGATCAACTCCATTCCAGAACCAGGCAGCATTGGTTCTTTTTCATTCATCCTGTGGTAGGAAGAGGATCCCAACCATCTTCACCTCCATATCAAGAAAAAAAAAAGAGAAAAAAAGAACTTCTGTTCTGCCATTCTAGGTAGTGCACGTGTGCTGACCCTTCACACATCTAACACCAGACACCCAAAAACCCAGCATCTAGGCAACAAACAATAGGATGGGGGGAATCAAACATGGTGGGTCAATTTCAGTCCAAAACCAGGCAGTGTTTGGAATTTTTCATCTGGCTTGTCATAGAAGGAGGGTCCTGACCAACCACATGAGTGAGAACTTATGCTGGCTGGTCCAGTGCTGATCCAACACCAGGTCATCCAGGCAGCAGTAGAATGGAGGAAAGCCAGCTAGAAGATGAACTGTATTTGATGGATCATCTCCAGGTGGTATCAGGAACTTATTTTCTGTTCTGTGGTATGAAGAAGGTTCACACCATCAACACCAACTCTCTACTGAGTTGAATTGGTCACACTCTGGAGGATGCCTCTTGGTCCAGCAACTAGGAACTAGTGAGAGGCAAAGACTCTCATACTCAACTAGAAGACAGGGGTTTAAAAGTGCATTGGGTAGCTTAGAGGAACACAACAGGTTAAAACTGCGCAGTGGGTGACTATGAAATCCAATAATTAAAAGCAGGCTAGTCTAGATTTATTCAACTAGGATGGGAGGGATAGTCAGCTATCCCAACACTGCCCTACTCATGATAGTCCTTGAGTAAGTATGGTCAGAATTGGGCCTTGTTTAATGAATAATATACCATGAAGAAACCTATAGTGGTCTTGTGAAACATCTAATCTCATCAGTGAGCATTTCAGGCTTGAATGGCTGCACGGTGCAGATTTAAACTTAAGTATACCCTTGCCAGCACTGCATGCCACTCAGTGGAATCCTGACATGTAAAATAGAGCACTTGTAACAGTAAGAGAGAAAGAAAAAGAACTTACTCAGTCAGAGCTGGTCAGGTGTATATCGAGGTGAATCTAAATTCAATGAAGCATAGGTCAGAAAGGTGAGGGTAATAGGAGAAATATCTTGGGGAGATGAGGAAGTCCAAAGAATAAAAAACAGGTGCGTGAAATTCAAAAAGAGCAGTGCAGATCAATCAAAATCGAATCACACAGATTCAGAGTGAAAAATCCAGATCAGAATTATAATAAAAATGAGAAATGGAAGGAAGGGAAATATGAGTGAATGCACTGTCTTTTTCACTAATGACAGACATTTGAAGGAGAAAAGCACAAGCAGGAAAAGGAAAAATAAAAGAGCATTGGAATAAAATACGGGAAACAGCAATGGCATACAAGTCTCCCATGGACAAAGAAAGAAAATAGAAAAAAAGGTTGGACCAGTCCCAACTGAACACATCCACAACTGGTGTTGATGAAAGGGGAAAAGAGGACCAGAAAAGAGTAAGTGTTGCAGTGAGATGAGTGGCAAAAACATCTGGAAAGGGAGTGCCCAGAGGAGAGCATAGCCACCTGTACAACAGAGGATCAAGGAACCACTTCATAGGCAGTACCTTGACAGGCCTCAAGAGACAATTCACAAGATTCAGGGCACAAGATAACAAGATTGTAAGATGTACGTGCCATATGCTGTGGCATCACTGATCCAAATTCACATGAGATTCAAGACATGCCCCTGGAAACAGATGGAGACCCAGATAAGAGGAACACCTTTTATGCTAATGATTTAATTAAGTATTTAAGCAAGGATCCAGTGATTGTGCATATTCCATGGTAGACATCAAAAATGAACACAACCCAAAAGGTTCAAGCTGGACTGCCCTGAAGTCTACAAACAGTGAGAGGATGGATGGAAACAGAGGAACAAGAAGTGGTGACAAAGAGGGAAGATGAAACAAGAGGGCACGAGACAGAAAGAGGCAAAGAAGAGATGGTAAACCAATGAGGATAAGGAATAATATTGGCATGCATGCTCAAAATATGAATCCAGAAAAACAAGTACTCCAATAAAACCACACAGGAGCCAGATGAAAACATACGAGAGAAAGGAAAGGCAAAAAACCTTACTAACAAGAGCATCACACTAAAAAAAAACTCTAGCAACAGATAAACCAAACATGAAGTGACAAGGACGAGTAAGATAAATATGCCACTGTAGAAAAGATAAGTGAAGAAGCAACTGCCAAAAATCCCTCAAAGAAATGGTGGATTACCACAGAAAGAAGATGAATGGAGGAAAAACAATGGAAAAAGGTACTGAGTGTAAGACGAAGAAGATGGGAAAGCTTAAGAAAGATGAACAAAAGATATAGGATCTGGCTCCCAAGTCTTAGTAAAGAAAAGACTCCAGAGTGTAGGAATTTGTAAAAGGCAATACTTTGCCTAGTCCTCTGAGGTAACAAAGGAAGGAGGACAAGGCATGCATGTACCAAAGTAAAAGTAATTGAATATGTATTTGAATAGGAAGTAAACAATATAAAAGGAAGAAGCAGAGAAGAAATGACAAAGAGAAGAAAAGAAACATACCTGAAAAACACAATCCAGAATTATGAAAAAAACTTAGATAGACTCAAGACAGCATTGGTATAAGATTAGGCAAAGGAAGTGATGGGAAAAACTGGCAAAATTCCTTCTGTCACGAATGATAAACATAAGCAGAGGTATATCAGTTACAAAATAAAACCCAGGCTGCATGAAAGACTTTACCATCTGCCACACAAAGTGCATCATTTCTCCCAGCAGACAAAGAAACCCAACACCAATGTAGTTGTTAGAATAGCATGAACAATGTCCCATTGTCTAACACCAGACAAAGTAGTAGTTACTGACACCTATGAAATAATAATATGGAAATAAAAGGCCACAAAATTTGCAGGTGTAGAAAATTTTGTAAAGCAAAAATCCAACAATAGAGGCTTCCACAAAATAGTTAATGTTTGTGTAGATACTTTCAAAAAAAAAAAAAAACATCACTACACACGTGTCAAATGATTATTGAACAATCAGAATAGAGAAAGTCAACTGCACTGGGAGGGTGTGTCACACTCCTATTGGTGGAAGAGGGTTGTTATATACTCATTTGCATGTTACAGCACAGCAATACCACTTGGAGACATGTGAATTTAAGAGGGAACCTCAATGCTAATGGTGAGCAAAAAAACTGCACATATAGAGGGCAGCATAAAATTGAGGATAGCTAATGTGTGTGTAGAGGTAAGGTATCGTATTGGAACTAACACTTTAGAAAACATCTTTATCATGAATTCATACCACCTGACAGAACTTGTAGTCTATGATGCTGTGAACTCTTGTAAATGCACTTGTGAGGTTTAGCATTCAAATAGGATATTTTATTTTTTGGAGTTTTAATAGTTGTCATTTCCAGCTACAGCTTCCACCCTCCAGTCTGCTTTGTATAAATTTTGAAAACTGTTATTAAAACTTCTGAACTCACCTCATAGTCCCTGTTGTGGGAGTATCAGTAAGGGGTAGTGTTATCCCCGATTTTAAAACCAGCTCAATGTGAGAAGAGTTAGCTGGTCCCTGGCCTATGCGTACATCCAGCAAGTCTTCAATGCTCAGCACAGTTCTTGGAGGGTTTACAAATGGCCACAGCAGTTTGTGAAATATGCTGCTCTTCTGAAGAACCACACTTCCCTTGGTTTTGTCAAAATCACATTTCTAAATTTAACATGAATGTTTTTACACAGAGGCTACATGACTGGCTAAACAATTTATAAAAGTGAAGTCAAAAACTAACAACCCTAATGTGAGTAAAACTATATATGTTTAGGTCCTCAGCTGAAATTCCACAATTAGAAATTCAAACTTTAACATAGACTACACAAAGGTACGTAAGCACTGTACATACAAGTTAAAAAACAGAAAAGCACTTTTCTTCAGACTATTATAGCACCTTATTGAAAAAATGCTTATAATTCACAAGCTATATTTTTTATTTATTTCATTCTGTGCTTTGAACATTACATATAAATTACTGTTCTACACAAAAAGTAGAACACATCCAAAAATAAATTACCTCCCAAGCTTCTAAGAATGACAGTCCTATAACCAAACAGCCAATTACATATCCAATCTTCAAAAGAAAATGATCTGAAACAGAGGGAAACAACATGATTCTCAGCAATTAAACTAAACTTGTATAATTTTCTGAAATTAACACTTCTAATAAAATATATATATATATATATAATTGTAATATTAGCAATAAAGAATACAAGTAACAATATTTACAATATTGAAATTATTATAAATTAATATAATATTGTTTTGTCAATGCCATTTGAAGTAATGAAGTATTATTAACAACAGTGATATTTAGTGTATTGGTATCATTGTGAGTTAAATTATAAAACAATGCTTACCTACTTGAAAACTGTAAATAAGAAAACACTAAAAAATGAAACAGCATAAAATATTAGATGTTCCAGTGAGAAATGAGGTTTTATTTGTTTTGTCAAATTTTATACAAAGCTACTCAAAAGCCATCTATGATAGCCATCCCTAATTTAGAAATGGTAGACTAGAGGGAAAGCAGTTAGATAACACTACCCACCATCGACTCTTGGGCTACTCTTATCAACAAATAATGGGATTGACCAAACTATAATGTTTTTTGCTCAATATTAAACATCAAAATCTGTGCACAAATATCTTAAAGCTCATTAAGTTTAAGGAAAACTAATATATATATATATGTATGTGTTTTTGTGTATTTCTGTAAGCATACAGTAAATATATTTTTACTGAAAACAATAATTCATGTAGAGCAACCAGAAAAATTTAACTGCAAAAAGAAAGAACACCATTGTAAATATGCAAGTAAAAGGACAAAAATAAGTGTATTTTATGGTTATTATTTAATTCTTTTTAAAAAAGTTTTTTATCCATTGAGAAAATATTAAAAACCATGTAATTGTGAAAAGTTCTTTCAACACAACACAAAACACTGTTAAAAAGTTCATGATATATATTAGATTAATTAAACTGAGTACACTATATTACACTAATCATTTGGATGTTTTATTAGCTTTTAATAATTACAGTAGTAAAATGACAACAATAACAGCATTTGACCTAATTTTTAGACTAGCTATGTTATGTAAAAATTACAAAAAGTTACTAACCTGAACCATAATATCCAGCACCTATTCCTAATGATAATATTCCTGGAGAAAGAAAGGTCATAGATTATTTTTCCTGGCTTATCTGAAAGACCATCTAGGTAACTATGGCTGCATTTTTTTTTTTTTTTATTGCACCACTATTTCTTTAAATAAAACAAAACTTATGATTATTTTAATGTAGTTATATGTTACTAAACTTATTGGATATTAGATTAAAACAAAGAATGATCATAAATGTTAGCTAAGAAGGATAATGTATTTATCTTAAGAGCTGAAACTATTGTTTCTAATATCTGGTAACTGCAAATAATTTAATACATTAGTAAATTATCTAAATCTGCAATTAGTTATGTGTACCAGGGGGAGTGTACTGGTAAGTAATAGTATAAATATTAGTTGTTAGATTAATCTATAGAGTGAAATGGTTTGATTTTAGTTTAAAAAAATATTGGGTGTGTAGATTGGAAGCAGAGAATAAAGACAGACTAGTCAACTTCAACATGGTTAGAAGTAACTCAGGGATGGGATTTATTGGGTGCAACAAATGCAAGAAATGGGTTACGTTTGATAATTGTGGGCTTGATTGTGACTTTAAAGAATTTCAGAATGACACATTACTATGCAACACTGTTTACTTGAGGATAAGTTGGAGATAGCTTTGGGAAAGACTTGCTATTAGAAGGAGAAAATAGCAGGTGGTAAGACAGGAATTGTACATTGTTACCATAAGAGTTGCTGTGTGAGAGGATGCGAATGTAAGTACAAGGACACACAGTAATTAAAAGATAAGGCTACAGAAAAACATTTGGTTGACATTCAAGTACTACTCTAATTACAGGTATGGAATTTTTGAAAGAAAATTCTTGTCATAGTGATAAAATGATAGATGAATCTACTTGTCTTTCATAAAAATCTACTTGCCCCCTCCTTATCCCACAAAACACACACACACACAAAAGTAAAATATATGTTTTATGATTTTTTTTATTTAACAGTGAACACGATTAATATTATGCCAGTGACATATCAGTTTTGTCATGAATGGTGTCAGATTTTGTCTGAGCTTTACATATATATATATATATTCATTCACAAGCGTTATGGCTTTTATCATTTAGTCACTAGAATTGTACAGTGCAGCATGAAGAATATCACATGCATGAACTGATAAAGAAATCATGGTTTACGTTAATGGTGCCATGAACAAAAACATTTTTGAACCTTTTAGTAAATTTCATTATGTTATATATATTCTTCCCAGAACTAGCAAATGTGTTGGTCCAATCCTAGCTGAAAACATCGATAGCCAGAGCAAGAAGACGAGGGACCAGAGACCAAAACTAAGGAAATTTGTCGTTAAGGGACATAGCAAAAGCTTCACTGTGAGATGTAACCCACTGGAAAAGAAAAGGATTGAGAGACCAATATGGCAGATAGATTTTGTCTGGATGGGAATTCAATCAACGACAAGGGTAAAAGCACCCAGAACATTACATGCAATGATATGTATACTGAGTGTGTGGGCCCAAAAGGAAGATCTAACATATGAAGACAGAAGGATCGAGAAGGTGTGCCACCCTGGTGATTGAGATAAACAACTACTGGAGAAAAGGACGAATGGATCATTACCAGACAATTCCTGGCCACATGGTGAAAATGAACCAAAACACGACTTACAAAAAGAAGTGACAGGACATTGATATGATAAGACCTCTTGGCCACAGAGCAAAACCCGAAGCTTCCTGATGATTGAAAATGACCCCAACTTCAAAGGGATGCATCCATAAAATGTGTAAATCTGGATGAGGAGGAGGAAGTGTGACACCTGCCAACATGTGAGTCATGTCTAACCACCAATGCAGACTATCATCAAAGTTAGGATGAGATTCCCTTGCGAGATTCCACTGGTTGTGAAGAGCTCACATATGAGACTGACTTAAGTGGATAAGTGATGCAATGGAAAATTACATCCCCAAAAGCAATAGAACCTCGCAAGCCATAACAGAACTGAAAGCCCCATCTAACAAAGTCAAGGAGGAGAAGGGTGTGCCTGACTGAGATGAGTTTGGAAAAAGAAAAACACTCAAATGGACAAGATATTGGATAGATCATAGTAAGTACTTCTCCAACTTGATGAACCAGACCCCTATAGCCAGCTCTATGAGCAGCTGATGAGGGTACAGACAGACTCCTGTTCAGAATGAGCTAACAGTAGACAGTCATCTAAAGAAAGTGGAACGTGCAACCTGAGAGTATGTAAGTGATGAACGAATGCTCTGAACACCCAACAAAACATACACGGCTGAAGCAAGTCCGAAGGGCAATGCAAGAAACAGATAAGCCATCCCATGGAGAACAAACCAAAGAGAGAGTCGCAAATGATGAGATATCAGGATATGCAAATAAACTTTTGGGATGTTCATCTTGGTCAACAATAAATCTGGAGAAAAAGCTCATCTAATGGTGAGAAATGACTCCAAGGTAAATTGGGGCAGAGTGATAAATAGTTTGAAGCAGGACAAACCTCTTACAGGCAACTAGTCTCCGATTTTTCATGAGGACAACAAACACCCTGGAATAAAAGCCTGGAGAAAAAGGATGAACAGGTGCAATGGCCTATTGAAACAGAAGATCTTGTACCACCTCAGACAGATGCTGTCTGGTGGCAGTATACCGAGTCATGGGGAAAGAAAAGAGTACCTGTGACAAAGAAGGAGTATAAAGAAATAGTAGGACAAGTCCCTCTGATAAAACCCAAAGAACCCATGGATCTGTAGTGAAAGATCCCCAAAAGGTAACATAATCATATGGTCAAGCTCATACCAGACCGGAACACACTAGTTAGTCCCCGGTACTGTTGGCATCATGCTCATTTACGTTGAATAAAATGATAAAATGAGAAACCAATGGAAGGAGAAACAGGGAAGGGTACATAAGGACTAGGACAGGAAACAGGAATAGGGCCTTGTCGTGGCTCCGACTGCAACAAATGTGCAACAAAGAGGAAAAGGTAGTGTGTTGATGCACAGACTACACATCTGATTCCAAACTCTCAGATATATGACAAAAAACATACTGCCAAAGAAAAGGGCCATACATAAGTCCCTAAAAGAAAGAGGTGGCAAAAGAACTCAGGACAAGGTCGCATTGCGACCCAGAAGGTTCCAACAACAGAGAAACCACATGTGTAAAGCAAGAACCAAAGACAATATACAAGCCAATGTGGAGGTAATAAGGAATCATAGAAGAAGGGTGCAAGAGGGGTAGTGAAAGACAGGGCAAAATCCAGGTGGTGTAAAAAGGCTATCAAATCTTCATTGGTCCAAACATGTTCAGCTTGTTCAGGAACATTATTGGGGTGAGTTTAAGAGAAGGAGGTTGACCCATTGAATGGTCACTCTCATGGTGGATAATAGCAGAGAAATCTTATGACGGGTCTTCCCCACCTGCAGCCTATGAGATAGTGTTAAAAGGATGACAACCAAAGTGGGAACATGAACATCAGAATTCATTGAAGAAATACATAATTCAAGATGGGGAAATTAAGTTAAAGTAAAAGATTTCTTCAATGTAAAAAGAAATAATAATGAAGAAATCCCACTTCAGAAGTTAAACTATTAAAATCATGAAAGCGATACACATGGAGAGCCCCAAAAGAAAAAATGTCTGAACAAGAGTACTGTCAAACGAGAAGTGATAGTTCGGTATAATTGAATAGAGGGAGTCACATGTATCATGAGTGTGTCACATTCTTATTGGTGGGGAGTTGACACATGATGATTTGCATGAGAGAAGCATTGAAATCAGTCAATTCCAATGGAGGAGAGATAAAAGGCTTGTGCCATGCATAAAAAATTTGTTTTTGCATATAGAGGGCAGCACTGAATGAGAATAGCTATTTATGTGAGAAGAGGTAATGTACCATATCGAAAACAAAGAAACAAATATAACACCCCCATGGCTGAAAGGTCAAGCATTAGGTGTTGATGGGAATAGAACCTATGACTCTCAAGTCACAAGGCAATCACCCTAATCACTGAACCATGCTAGCCCAAAGCTGAACAAACTTGAATTAATAGAAAATATAATAATTAAAATGCATAATGCAGTGTTTCTGTTTTGACAGCCCCATTTCTGCAAATGTAATAATGACAGTCTAGAAATTTGATGAGTACAAAAGTTGACATTTACTTTTGCAATATTAAGTATTCACTAAATCATTCAGTGAATATGAATACTGTACCGTTAAATTTGAATACTTTAATTTTCCCTATCCAAGTATTCAAATACAAGTAAAAATACTCTCAAAGCTATATTTAAATGCATTAAAATATGAATACCATATACAAATATCCCATATCTAACATCAGTTGAGTTAATCATCCAGCTCTAATTCCTCCTTAACATCAATTTCAATGCAAGTACTATTAATCATATTGTGGTGCTAAAATTTGTTAGAATATAATACAATATTAGCAACAAATACAACATTATTTCATGCTGTTAGTAATTTAATTTCTAACAATTATCCTAACACATCAGTGGTTCTTAACCTTTTTAAATCCACAGAATTCTTCTCGGACACACACACTCACATAATGAGAAGCATGCTCTCTCAAATAATAAAAGTTTACATGACTCAAGCACTTATTTGTACCGATTCTTGTCCACTAATTTAAAAAAAATGCAATGACTTGTTATTTTGTGTCATTATGAAACCTGCTATAATAATCAAGAAATATGATGTAAATTGATTGCAATTATGTGACTAATATTATTGTGTTAATAAATGCTCCTTTCCTAGAGTATAATCTTTGCGCTACCCATAATCAAGACATTGTTCATTTAAATTATTTTCACTAGTCTTTGAAGTTCATTCAATTTACTGACATTGTTCTTGTAGTATTCATTAATATAAAACAGTTCACTTGTCTCAACATTTTTCCTAACATACTGTCCACTTCTTTCACTAACTTAAACCAGTTCACCTTTCTTGATCACTCTTAATTTTTAAGTAGTTTACAGTTTATGTTAGTGACAGTTAACACTGCGAAAGAACATTATTAAACTGGAAAAAAACTTGCATGTTCTTCACTGGTAACTTATGTCATCAATGTGTACAAGTACAATTTCCTTTAGCTGCAAATTTAACATCACATAATACTAGTTACTTAACACTAAATGATGAATATGGCATAATATTTTCACAGGGAACAACCAACAACACATATGACATCATGCTCCATAGATCCAAGAATCAGTACTGGAACAACACACACAACTAAAACAAACTTCTATTTAGTTTCAAGAACCTTCTTTCTGTATGCACATCCTAGACAATACACCAAACTGATCTTTTCATTCAAACAAATACAATTACACAGATGCTTCAATATTTTAAACTAAAGTGGGGAGTGAGTTTGGGAAATTGGGAATAAACAAACTGATAGAATAGCTAGGACAACACAGATTTTAGCACAAAGCATAACAAGTTAAATAATAAAGATAAGTCTGTCATAATTGAGAATAAGGATAGTAGGATCAAGACTAAACTTAGTTACTATTATTCTAATGTTAAGAATATTAAGAATAAAACAGAAGAATTCAAGGCTCTAGTTAAAATGTAATACTATAATATAATAGGATTTACTAAGTAATTATAACATGAATTATTTTGATATTCCAGGTAATAAGTTCTTTAATAGTGATAGACTTTTTAAGTTGAGGGCGTGAAGTGGCTATTTTTTTAAATGATGGACTGAAGACAAAAAATGATAGTCGGGGATTTGTGGTTTCAAATGTACAAAGTTTTCAATTGGCAGTTATTATAGGCCACCTGATCAGATAAAAACGGGTTCATGAGAAATTGTATATTGAGATCAGGGTTGCTACCAACATATCACTGATATCATTATGGGATAATTTAATTTTATACATTAATTGGGATTGTATGGAATCAAATACCAAAGTAGAAATTTTTTGAAGTAGTTAAGGTATGGTTTTCAATACCAACTAATCAGAACCACAGAGAGGATACCAGTTTATATTTATTGTCAACCACGAGTGAGAATACAATTGCAAAAATTGAAGTTGGGAATGTTTGGGGAAAATTATCATTGCATAACTAGGTTTAATATTTTTCCTACATGTTCAGATAAGAAGAATTTAAATTTTAGTTCCTTATTGTCAGAAAGCCAATTTTGAGGTTAAAAGTGAATATGTATTATCAATTAATTGGGACATACTTCATCTTATGACTTCTACAGGAGCTGCACACAACATACAAAACAGTTTGACCTTTCTTTTCTCAAGACAAAATAAAAGATCTTAACCTATTTCTGGAAGATAATTCTTCCATTCCTTCAATAATCCTAATAACTCTCTTCTGAACCCTTTCTAGCAAGTCAATACTTTTTCTTTGATAAAGAGACCAACTGTACATACTATTCTTAGTTAGGCCTAATAACTAAACAAATGATTTGTATAGAGAGGGAATCACCTCTTTTGACTTGTAATAAATATGCCTAAAAACTCATCCCAAAACAGACTAGTGTGAACCACTGCTTACAATAAAAAAAATCCCATTCATCACCACTTTTTTGCTTTCTACTATTAAACCAATTTCTATTAAATTCATAAGAATATAGCAAAGACTAAGTCACAAAAAGTCATTTCATATGTCAAAATCACTCAACAAAGTAACAAGCCAACCTAAGTAAAATCCTTCACACCCATAAAATTAATTGATACTTAATATAATATAATATTAGCCCTTAAAAGTTTTGAACATTTGAACCGTGTCCTTGATTGTCCTATTTAGTAAAAGTTCTACACGAGTCTTAGTTTTATGCTCCAGATAGATAAAACAAGTTCAAATCTTCGGGTCTGTTTTCACAGTAAAACAGCTGAGATTGGATTTTTAATAAATTTTGGCAGAGTTTCATGTTTTTACACTTCAAAACTTCAATTAAAAAATACAAATTTGTATAAAATTATAATTATTTAGCAGCCGGACACTTTAGATAAGGGATAAGGCACTGGAAATTACGGTGGTTAACTCTTTAACTTTTTTAAGTTTTAACTTTAAGTTTAAGCCTAACTATAAAGTATAAGTTTTCTTACCGTTGTAAGAATGATACAAAATTAAAACCTTCTCATTTAAAACATGGCTGAAGACAATTACAAAATTAGAACCTTCTCATTTAAAACATGGGTGAAAACAATTACGTTTTGAGTTCAATTTCATTTATTAAAGTTTAAAAATAAAATTTTATATAAATGCACATACCGGTAGAATATGCACTTACCAACAAGAATACTCCACGACCGAATTCCTGGTACTTTGGATAAATATATTCTATCATGCGTCTTAAATTTCACATTTAAACGAGTCATTACAATTCAAGTGAAGTAATTTCCTGGAAAAACTAATATATATTAACAATTTTTATGTGTGTAAACAGCATGCTACGAAAAACCATCGCAACTAGCCAAATCACTTAAGTTATAAACCGTTCCTGACAAGTTAACACATGCTTACTGTTTACTTGCGTGCGAGATTTCAATATATTATTTCACAGTGTAGACGGCAGCACAGTGACTGTATTTCTATATTAAAATATGTACTTATAAAAATTGTTTGTTAGTAAACACAAAGCTGTACTTTGGAATATCTGTGCTGTGCCCACAGCAGGTATTGAAACTTGATTTTTAGCATTATAAGCCCTTTGATTTATCGCAGAGGGGAGGGCAAAAATTATATTAAGCATTTTTATAGCTATAATGATATTTATTTTATTTTATAAGCCTAAACAGCTTTTCGCAAACTTATTTTGAAAATGCTTCGGGGGAATAATGATCAAGCATTACGTAAAGAGTACACATAGGGGTAAATGGCTACTTTTATATTTTTTCTATGAATAAAAGCGATAGTTAGTTTATAGAGTTAAATTCTGTTTAGTTTATCTTGCATATCTTTTCACTCAATATTTCTTTATTTCGATCTAAAACAGTTTATTTCGTGTGGTTATTTTGATTGATGATTTCAAATCGAAAAAAATGCTACAAGTGATTTGAAAGAAAGACTACAAATTAGATATAAGCATAAGCATATAAATACACTAAGAAAACGAAATTGTAGAAATATAATTAAGTTTGACTAAACTCGATTCTATTTGTTTGTTTATAGTTAATCACAATGCTACACAATGTGCTATCTCTGTTGTCCCCATCACGGGACTAGAAACCCAGTTTCCACTGTTGTAAGTCTGCAAACATACTGCTGTGCCACTGATGAATGGCGACTCAATTCTGGCGTTTAGTGTACCATGGTAGTTCAGTGGTAAGTTCACGGATTTACAACGCTAAAATTCGGGGTTCGACCCTCCGCATTGGACAGAGCATTGTTGGCCCTTTGTGTAGCTTTGTCCTAAAATAACAACAACTGACTTTTACAACAAATAATATCCACAAATCTTTTCAATACTAAACACGTTTAAATAATCTATATATATCTCTATATATTCCAAAACACATCAATATTAATTAAATGTGCTAGTACTAAAACGAATAAAATAAAAAAAGAAATAAACAATTGCAAAATCAGAAGAAGCTTACAATAATGCTAGAAGCTGCAAAAGCATCTCTTAAGATAATCTAAACAATATAAAAACCTGTTTTTCGAATAGCTATATGCTGTAATTGTTTCATTAGTCAAATATTTCAGGGTGAATGATTATGCAACTGTATTGCAGATTGAAGGAAGTTCACTCTTCAGCTAAGTTCCTTCAACTAAAAAGTTACATGGTTTAAATTTCATACACACAAATCATACAAATAGGAATTGTAAGTGATGCTTAAAGTTATCGTAATTATTAAGCTTTAGCTATATGGATTCAAATTCGATGACGAGGAACCCACTTTGAGACTAATAATGCTTGGAGACAGCTTGAATTGGTAATGAAGAAAAACTTTAATATAAGTTTAACATAACAGCAA